CGGCTGGCTCCCGCCACGGACTCCGCAGTACGGTTTCTGACTCTCCCCTGCAGAGAACTGGTTTCAGTTCCCCTGCACCCTGCCCTCCTGCTCGCCTGCTGGCCGGGCCTTCCTACCCTCCGCCATCCTTCCCTCTGCCTGAGACGCTTCCCGGCTCCAGACAGCCCTCTTCTCCTAGGCCTGGCTGATCCCCACTCCTCCTTCTGGTCTCAGCTTAGCCATTTCCCCTCTGAGCCCCTCAAGACCATTCACCCTCCCTGGGTTCTCCAGGAGCCTCCCTTTCTCCCCATCGTGGTGCTTACTATATTTTAATCATTCGCTTAGAGTCTGACTTCCTCTGTGAGCGTAAGGGATTCTCTCCCTTACGGTTTTATTCCCGGTCCCCGGCACGGTGCACCTGCTCAGCGTGGGTGGCGGGAGCGTGGGGAGAGGGGCCCTAATGTGCTTGCTTCACGGCAGCTTGGCGGGGTGCGGGAGGAGCAGAGGGAGAGGGGCGAGGAGCTGTGGGCCAGGCAGACTGATGGGCTCCGTCCTTTCAGCCTTCTTTCCCGCCGCCGTCCATGGTGCCCAAGTGCACGGCCAGGTCGGGGGCTCCGTGCTGCTGGCGGCAGAGTGCCCCCCTGGCTTCCAAGTCCGAGAGGCCATCTGGAGATCGCTCTGGCCTTCGGAGGAGCTCGTGGCCACGTTTTTCCGGGGCGCCCCGGAGACTCTCTACCACTCCCGCTTCCTGGGCCGAGCCCAGCTGCACAAGAACCTGAGCCTGGCGCTCCAGCCGCTGGAGCCGGGAGACAGCGGCAACTTCTCTGTGCTGCTGGTGGACACGGGAGGTCGGGCCCGGACCCAGATTCTGCAGCTCAAGGTGCACGGTGAGTACCCCCGACACTGGAAAGGCATCCTGCGTCCTGGGAGCTGGGGAGGACAGGGTTCCAGGGACCTCTGGCCTCTGACCTCCCGGCTGATGCAGGGCACAGCTGTCCCCACGGCACAGCTGAGAAAGTTCCTCCGGTGCTCCCAGGTGAGCTCCTGGCTGGGGCAGCCTGGCTTTGCCACCCCGCGGTCCTCGCCTGAACTCCGGAGCGGCCTCTTCTTGGCTGGGTGGCCAAGGACACAAGGTTAAGCCTCCCTGGCGCTCACCTTTCTCCCTTAGAAAATGGGTGTCGTGAGCAATGTCACACGAGGCGCCTGCAAAGGGGGAAATAGAGCGCGTCTGGGAAAACAGCTGAGAGGGCGCTGGGCCCGCACTGCAAACTTCTAAGCTCATAGGATGTGCCATTACCTGACAAACTCCTACAAGGGAAAAAAGTACGGCCCATCAGACTACGACGCGATGTTTTTTATCATACAGTATGGAATTTTTATTTGACACTGCTTTCGAGAGTTCTTTTCGCCGTGTTTAGAGATTTTCCGACGTATAACGGTCACAGGTTCTCTCCGTTATTCACTGTCGCAGAGCAAACCGTCCCCAAACCTACGGGCTGAAAACAACGCTGTTAATTTCTCATGATCTGTGGGTGGCGGGGCTCGGCTGGGTGGGCCTCCTGCTCCCCGAGGCCCGCCAAGGTCGTTCAGGCGGCTGCATTTGGCACCTCAGCTGGGGCGGCTGACTTCACTGCGGACTAGGTGGACCCTGCTTTCCAGCAACTTCCCCCCTACTCCCTCTGCCTCCTGCCACATCACCTCTGTCACCATCAAAACCTCTACTTCTGCATCTACTGCCCCCGCCTCCACTGTATTCCTGCCGATCAAGAAAAAAAAACAGTGGCCTTTGAGCTCTCATTCATCTACCTAATGGCTCGGAAAAGGTGGGTGAGTTACCCCCAACCACTATTTGAGTAAAACCTCAGACATTTGGTAGACTAGTGGGAGAGCAAAGCCCAACTTTAAGAACGAAAAGCACGAGCGACACCTGGGAGGAAGAAGACGGTGAGGGAGAGAAGGGCAGTCGTAAACTGGGAAGGAGAGAGAGCCCCCCACGAACCAACCCAAAGACAGCTAGCTGGCTGCCCTTGGGTGAGCCCCTGGGGGTGCCAGTGTACGGTTAGATGGGCGTCCCGAATGCGCGCAGCCCTGAACCCAGCTGCCCAGCTTGGCAAGCAGAGGGGGGGCTGGATTTAGGCAGCCCCACCCTCACCTGTTATCCCCTCAGCCCTATTCCCTTGTGCAGTGAATAACCTCCACAACCACACAGGCAGCCCTGGAGCCCCTTCCTATTCTAAGTCTCAGCTGCTGCACATGTGAAATGAGGACATTGAATGTGATAATACATGCGGCACCCACACCACTAAGCTCTAAAATGCCTTGTTCTCAGCATCTGAATTACAGATTTTAAGGAAATTGCTGTTTTATTGCTTCCAAATACATAGCGTGATTAGAACTAATTGCACAAAGCTGCCAAGCAGCCGTCCTTGGGAGCTCTGCTTTGACAATAGATAAGAATGATTTGAATTAGCAGATCAGTTACTAGAAATGTCAATGGGTGTTTCTACTGTGCCTGATAGTGTTTGGAAGCAGCTTGTCCTCTTAAGTGATGTAAATATCCACCACACGCGCGCGCACGCGCACACACACACACACACACACAGGCACGCGCGCGTGCGGTAATCTTTGTTTATACTATTAGTGTGCCCAGCAAATCTTTCCTTTTCCATCTCACAAATCCCCCCAGATTGAGCTGGCATTAATGAGGTTTTACTCGGCTTGACTTTGGAATACTGTCAGAGACTGAGCCCTCCCGTTGTCACTAGAATGCTCTCCGCTGGCCCCCATTGCCACAGAGACTCAGGATTTACTCATCAAGCTACACAGGAAAGGGAAGCCACAGTCTAGGATGCCAGGACTCCAATTTGCACAGTGGTCCAGGTGTCTGTGCACCTAGAGGGCTAAGGTTATGAAGATAACAAAACAGAACCCCCAGCCCCCTGCCCGGGTCTCCTTCATAGGGGGTTGCAGCCTTGTAATTATTTTCTTAGTCATTCAATCACTTGTCTTCTCCACCAAACTGTAAGCTCGAATAGTCCAGGAATGTGTCTGTTTTCTTGCCTGACTCAATATCTGCCGACCATCTCTCTGGCTGATATATCATGAAGAAAGTGCTATGACAAGGGACAGACCGAGTTCTTGGAGAGTTCGGAGCCTGGAATGTGAGGGAAGGCTTCCCAATCGGAGCAGTAAGCAACGTGTCCGAGCTGGGTCTTGAAGGACTGGTGGGAGTTCCCTAGGAGGAAGAGAAGAGAAAGGCACACGTGCGCAGGTGACCCATATGAGAGCATGAGAGATGCGGAAGGGCGCCGTGCTCCGGAGAACTGGAAATTCATTAGGGCAGGTGAGTCAGACCGGCAGGAGGCTACAACTGGAGAGGTTGGCATTGACTATCTCCTGAAGGGTCTCGACTCCCAGACTAAGGACCTCAGCTTCTGTCCTGGACAACGGGAAACCAGACTAGGCTCTGCAGCAAGAGTGTGGTGCCTGGTCAGAGGTGACCTCCAACCCTGCATGGATCCCGGGGCTGGCGCTCTGGGCCCTGCCCAGCATCACTGTAACCCGTGCCTGCTCTTCTGTTCTTGCCTAGATGCAGTGCCCAGGCCCGTGGTGCAAGTATTCATCGCTGTGTCAGGGGACGCTCAGCCCCCCAAGACCTGCCAGGTGCTCCTGTCCTGTTGGGCCCCCAACATCAGTGACATAACCTATAGCTGGCGACGGGAGGGGACCACTGACTTTGGTATTGAGCCAAGCAGCCTCTTCGTGGATGGACAGGTGCTGAAGGTTTCGCTGGGACCAGGAGACAAGAGTGTGGCCTATTCCTGCACTGTCTCCAACCCTGTCAGCCGGGACGTGGCCACCGTCACCCCTTGGGAGAGCTGCCATCACGAGGCAGGTATGCCAAGGGCCAGGGGTCAGTGGTTAAGGGATCGTGAAGCCTCCAGCCCCCCTCTGACCCTGCCCCCTCCGTGTCCAGCCCCAGGAAAGACCTCCTACAAAGACATGGTGCTGGTGGTGGTGCCCGTGGCCCTGCTCCTGACCCTGGCTGGTCTCCTCTCTGTCTGGCACCCCTGCTACTCAGGTAAGAGTCCTCTAGATGCCAGATGTCTTTGGAGGAGGAGGACCTACCGGGAAGGAAGGCAAGGTTGGACCTCCTCCGTTTTAGGCTTCACATGCTCTGTCCTCCTTCCCTCTATCACATCAGGTCCTGACTCTCACCGCATCCCCTGGTCTCCAATCAGATTGAACAAGGCGAAGTGTCCCTTGCACTTCTGAAAATGAACGCTCCTCTCGCCTGCCTCTTCAGGCCTTCGTGCCAGCCGTTCTGTCTGGAACGCACTTTCCGTGGCTTCCCACCCAATCCCCCTTCTTCATGTGACTATCTCCTCCACAGTCCCCAAGGTGCACCTGCTCCCGGAGGCCTTCCTGGCCTGCTCCCCCAGCCCGGGCGCGGTCGGTGTTCTTCCTTTAACCTCCATTGCTCCCAGCCCTCGTTGCACTCACTCTCCCACTGACTTCTCAGCCCCTGAAAGGCAAAGGCTGACTTGCCACCGGGTATCTAGCGATGGTCCCTGGAACAGCCTTGTAGGGATAAAGTTCTGTTGAGCGCCAGTCTAAATGAACACCAGCCCCGTGCTTGCCCACCATTCCTAAGAAGTGCTCCCTGAGAGAAGCACCTGTCTGGCCGGGAGCTGATAAGTCCTCCTTCTCCAGGAGAAGAGAAAAGGGGAAAGTCAGAGGTGGGGCTGGGTTCTGAGCCATCCCTCCGGCACAGCCCCTGCCTCGACCCCAGGATGCCCTGCCCCTGACAGAAACACCCCACTGACCTGGGCTTCATGGGGATGTCCACCCCAGGCTGTCCGGGATGGCTTCGGGCCAAGCTAAGATTCCAAACTGAGAGTGCGGATGTTGGAAGGTAACCTTTCTGGTCTCTTTGCCAGGGAAAAAGCAGAAGGACATCTGTACCGACAGAGTGGCTCCAGAGACGGAGAACCCCCTTGTGTAGGGTCTGCAAAGAAGGAGGATATAAACTGTTGCCTGGACCATCAGGAAGTACACGATGCTCTGGGCCATAGCTGGTGTCTGGAAATGACCATGGTCCTCATGCCTCTGGTGACACTCCTGTCCCACCTCCAGGAGCAGCCCGGGAAGCTCTTGCACTGGGAGCCACCACATGGAAAGCACTGGCACAACCTTCCACGTCCCCTCCTTCTCCGCCCGCCCCCCACCCTCCGCTCCTTGCGTGTCCTGGCTCTGCTCGGGGCAAGATCACAGAGCAACCCCTCCTTCACCTTTGACTCTCTCTATCTAGATCTCATTTTAAGGCCTTGGTCATCAGGGGACATCGGGGTCTCAAACTACAGGGGTGGGGCTGGGGCCAGAGCTGGAAATGGGCGATTCAGAGTTTCTCTGTTAGTTCAAATGTCTAATATCTTTCAGGGTCCGGGACCCAGACTGGATGCAATTCTTTGGTGCCAATTAGTTAATACTTGCATCGGTCTGCTAGGGCCGCCGTAACAAGATATCACAGAATCGGCGGGGGCTTAAAGAACAGAAATTCACTTTCTCGTAGCCTTGGAGGCTAAAAGCACAAGACCGAGGTGTAGGCAGCTTTGGTTTCTTGTGAGGCCTCTCTCCTTGGCTTGCAGATGCCTTCCTTCTCTAGGTGTCCTTCCGTGGCCTCTTCTCTACGTGTGCACGTATCCCTGGTGTCTCTCCCTCTTTTATAAGGACACCAGTCATAATGGACTAGGGCCCATCCCGGTGACCTCATTTAACTTTAATTATCTCTTTGAAGTCCTATTTGCAAGTACAGTCGTGTTGTGAGATCTTGGGGGTTCGCACTTGGACGAATGGATTTTGAAGAGACAAATCCAGCCCTCAACAATAGTTCATCAGCAGTGGGGGGAGGGGGGGTGAATGCCTGAACAGTCAATGTCCCTGTGGATCCTGCAGAACATCCAGTGTCTTAGAGGGGATGTTCGGTGATCACAGTGAGGAAATGGGGCGAGTTTTGAAGTATTTTCCCAGGGAAACTTCAGTCACTCACTAGGTTAGTCCTTTGCCAGGATCTCCCCTCTTTCTCCCAGTTGCTAGAAAGTCACTTTACCTTCAACGAATGGTCAGCACAGCTGGCCTCTAGCGTCACATCCCCACTCCTCCACTCAACTTGTTCTGGAATTTCCCTGCCTGCCGGCTCTGCTCAGTGGTCCCCAGCGGGTCACCGGGGCAACACCTGTCTTCTTGCCTTTCCTGCACCCACTTGTCCCCACCCAACCTTCCCCCTGTCCCCCTAAACAGTGCTCGTGGCCTCCCAACCTGGAAACGGGTGTTGCCCCCACCTGCCACCTAGAGGCATTCCCTGTGGTCACTGATTTCTCATGCAAAACTGGCCTCCATCCCTAAAAATGATGTGAAAGAGACAGCCCAGGAACTAGCAAGGAGCCATGGTGGCTGTGTGGAGGAAACACACACACACACACACACACACACACACACACACCCTGTGTCCCCCCCACTTTCTTCCCTCCATCTCCCAGGCCCCACCTCAGATCAGGCAAATTCTGGATGGGGGGTGGGACCCACATTTCTCCCTTCATGAGTTAATTCTTACTGACCTCATTTAGCCGTGGTTCTGTGATGCGTTGCACCGGGGCCTTTTTAAATAGGCCCACGCCGCTCAAATAGACGGATGCTCCCGTTCCCCACGATACACTTGTCAGCTAGTGGACTAATCAGCCCTCCACCGAAAAACTCAAAGAACTTCCAAGAGAACCACGTGCTAACAAGCACCGGGACCGATGGTTTAAAGGTCACACAGGACAAACATCGACTGAAGGTTCGGCACGTGCTGGGTACGGTCTGAGGCAAATCAGAAGCGGACAAAGCCCTTCCTTCGTGGAGTTTATATTCTAGAAATACAAACAAGCAAGGAGGTATGTGTCAGAGGTCGATGGGTTCTAATAAGAAGATAAAGCAGCGGGGCACCGGGGTGGCTCAGTCGGTTAGGCGTCTGGAGCTTGATTTCATGGTTCCAGTTATGATCTCGCGGTTCGTGGGTTCAAACCCCGAGTCAGGCTCCATGCTCCTGGCACAGGGATTCTCTCTCTCTCTCCCTCTCTCTCTGCCACGCTCTCTCTCTCTCTCAAAATAAATAAACTTAAAAAAAAAAAAGAGCAAGAGTAAAGGCTAGAAGAGAACGGTGTGCTGGGGAGGCGGGGCCCATCTCAGATGGGCGAGTGGGGTGAACCTTGCAGTGGATGGGCCAAGAGTAATCCAGAGAGCAGAGGGTACAAAGAAAGGCCCGGAAGTGGGGGCATGGTGAGTGCTTTCCAAGACTCCACTCTAGTGAGGAGCTTAGGGAAGTGCAGTGGTGAGGAGTGAGGAATGGAGGAGGTCGGCTGACTGGGGCCACAACCCAGGGGACCTTGGTCTTCAGAATACACATCAGGGTTGGGAGTATGGGGCGCCCCCCATCTGTTTGGGTGCCAGATTCCTCCCACAACAACCTTTATACCATTATTTCCGGTAGGCTCTGTTTTTTCCTCTTTGTTTTCATCCAACTTTCCTTGAGCAAGAGGCTTTGTACCTGTCCTTCTATGCAAGCACAAAAGCAGAGCTGCTAGGGTGGAGGAGTTCTGTGACCACGCGGTGCGGAGGAGAGTGGAGAGGGCCTGACAGAAAAGAGAAGTGTAGAGACCATGGTTTTGGCATCAGTGGGGATAGGAACCTCTGGTCCTCATTTTAAAAAAAAAAAGTTCCTTGGTAGCCTGGGTGGCAGTTAGTTGCTTGATCCGACTTCAGCCAGGTCTGATCATGGGGTCGTGGAGTTCAGGCCCGAAGTGGGGCTCTGGGCTGATGGCTCAGGGAGCCTGGAGCCCTGTTTCTGTGTCTCCCTCTCTCTGCCCCTCCCCATGTGCTCCTGTCTCTCTGTCCCAAAAAAATAAATAGCGTTGAAAGAAAAGAAAAAATTAAAAAAAAAAAATAAAAAAATAAAAAATAAAAAAAGTTTACTTGAAGCCTGGGTGGCTCAGTGGGTTTAGCGTCTGACTCTCGACTTTGGCTCAGGTCGTGATCTCACGGTTTGTGAGTTCGAGCCCTGCCTCTGGCTCTGCGCTGACGCTGTGGAGCCTGCTTGGGATTCTCTCTCTCCCTTTCTCTCTGCCCTTCCCCTGCCTGTGCTCTGTCTCTCTCTCTCTCTCAAAAATAGATAGACATTAAAGAAATTAAATAAAAACAAAAAAGGACAGCACAGAGCAACCATCTCAACCACCCCCAGATCCGGGAAAGTTTCAGTGGGTGCCTCCCCTCAGGCTGTGCCCTGGTCAGCGTCGGCCCCGTCTGCCGGGGGTGTGGGGGGAATGGCAGGCTGAGCACACGGGTAAGTAATAGAGATACTCCCTCTGTACAACTAGCCAGTTCTGGGAGCCACACTTCCAGGGAACCACTGGAAAACTTGGGTGTCAAAAAGAGAATGACCCAAATCACGAAAAGTCTAGAAACCTTATCATCCGAGAAATGACGAAAGAAACTGGTCATACTGAGCCTAGAACAGAAGACTCAGGGGGTCCCCAAGTGTTCAAAGGGCTCTCCCGTAGGCAGGTTGTACAGCCGAGGCCACAGGAACACGTCCCTGAGAGGCAAACGGTGACTCATACCAGTAATAGGACCTTCAAGGTGGAAGGAAACTTTGTGGTTTCTCAGTTCAGGTTTCTCATTTCTCAGGGGGAAAGCCAAGGCCCAAAGAGATGGTTACTCCTTGGAACAACATAATTGGTCAGTGGCAGAGTCAGAGTTAGCTTCAGGTTATCGAATCGGCCCAGCCCCTCCCCTGCACCGCACTGCCAGGGAAAAGCTCCCTGCCAGATGGAGAGCCCAATATGAAGTGAGCTGTTTCGGCGACAGCGGTGGCACAGAACCCATCGCAGAGCGATATTACAGACTAGAGCCTTTTCGTGTCAGGTGGGAAGTCGCGGCACATCGGGAATGACAAATATGCGCTCCCTCCACGCCATCCTCCAGCACCGTGTCGGGCATAATTACTTATGACACACTGGTCCCACTGAGTCCCCAGGCAGCCCAACGCTCAAGTGACTCGGGCCAATTAACAGAAGTTGGGAGCCAAGATGAAACCTATTAGCCATCCCTGCCCTACACAACCCATAAGAGCCTTCCCACATCACACGAGAATTGTAAAGTAAGGGAAGAATGAGGGGACAGTGAAATGAAGGAGGCCGATGAGACGACTCAGCTTGTGTGTCAGAAACACGCCAGCTTCCTGCAAACAAGATTTCTCCCAGCTTCCTTTCCTCCGCCCTTCTCTCGGCCTGTTGCCCAGGAATGTACCAGAAATGAACAGGGGGAGGCATCAGTGGGAAAGCCAGGAAAGCACAAAACGACAGGAAATCAGCCAAATAAGTCAATAGGATACATTTGGCCATTTAATAAATCATGTTCTTGGGGCGCCTGGGTGGCTCAGTCGGTTACGCGTCCGACTTCAGGTCAGGTCACGATCTCAGGGTTTGTGGGTTCAAGGCCCGCTGTGCTGACAGCGCAGAACCTGAAACCTGCTTCGGATTCTGTGTGTCCCTCTCTCTCTGCCCCTCCCCCGCTCATTCTCTCTCTCTCTCTCTCTCTCTCTCTCTCTCTCAGATAAATAAACATTAAAAAAATTTAATAAATAAGTAAATAACCATGTTCTTTAGGATATCTAACAATATTGTGAAAACCTGGCATCAGAGTTCTTTGGAGGCAAAGAACAGAAACCAACTCTGGTTTTAACTAATGCAAAAGGAGGAATTTTCTAGAAAGCTGTAGGTAGCTCAGTGTCTTAGTTCAGGCTGCTGTAGAAGAATACCAGAGTCTAGGTGGCTTAGACACAACAGAAATTTATTTCTCGTGGTTCTGGAGGCTGGGAAGTCCAAGATCAAGGTGCTGGCTGATTCGGTGTCCGGGGAGAGCCTGCCTCCTGGCTCACAGATGGATGGCCATCTTCCCACCGTGTCC